AATAATGAGTAAAATCCTATTTAAATTTGAAATTTGTTACAGATAAATTTAAAACCTTATACTTACAAGTATTGGGCAGAGGCAAGATGGCTAAATAGTTTATGTAAAAAAAAAAACAAAAACTTGAGTTTCGGTGAACCACAAACTCAGTAGGAGTGACCACCAGAAAAGCTGAGGAGCTTTATTTGGGTATGGAAACGAGGCCCTTTCCCTGATGCACATTAGCTCTTCAGTACCTTTATTGACAGTCTTCATGAATTGCTTTGGGCAAAAAAGTCAACACTTAGTATTCAACTTTCTCAAGATTTGCCAGGCTGGTCAATTTAACAGCCGTTTATTAAGCTCCTACCTTGGGCAACTGTGCTTTGGCCACTGATGATACAAAATAAACATGAAACAGCCTCTACCCTTAAGGAACATATTTTCTGGGGGAGGCAGCAGAATACAATGTATGCACAAACAAGAATAATAATGAGGAAAATTGAGGAGAGAAAGAACACTGATAACTGGGGAGCATCCAGGAAGAGGATGAACTGAGCCTTGAAAGAATACAGGAATAGGGGGGAGACAAGTGAGCATATTCAAGGCATGGGGATAGCTTGTGCCAATCAATGTATGAAGGTGCAGATGGAGTGTCAAGTTTGGGAAACAGCTAAGTTCATTTTGGCAGGAATATAATTTGTGAAATAAATCTGAAAGGGTAGGTAGGAGTCAGATTTTGGAGAGTTTTAAATGCCAGGCTAAGGACGTTGGTCTTGTAAGCAGTAGGGAGCAGCTGAAGGTTTTTGAGAAGAGGAGTAACATGGTCAGGGCTTACCCTTAGGAAGATTATTTTGGCAGCTGTTTAGAGGATAGATTGGAGAGGAGACAGAATAGAAGCAGTAAACCAATTAGGATCCTATTATAATAGTTTAGGAGAGAGAAGATAAGAGCCTGGACTAGGGTGGTGACCATGGGAGGAGGAGAGAAATGTGGTGGGGTTAGACTTGTCAGCTGATTGGATCAGGAGGAAAAGTGAAAAATCAAAGATTGTTCCAGAGCTATAAAACTGGATGACTTTGGATGGCGATGCTCTTAACAAAAATAGGAGAAATAGGGACATTTAGAGGAAGGACAGGTAATGAATTCTATTTTAGACACTGAGTTTGAGTTGCCTGTGAGACCTTGAAGAGGATAACAGACACAGTACAATCACTGCTTTTAAAGCCTTTCCAGATTGGTGGGACTTGCTAGCATAGTCTTTGGGAACCCAGGGTCACCTCTACGATAGGAGGAGGCAGGTGTTTCTTCAGACGTTGTTAACAGAAGTATCACCTCCAAAGCAAAGGAGACAGTAGTACTTCTGGAGAACTTTGCCCCAGTTGGGCCACATTGAGAATGTGGTATTTGGATCGTGGGGCTACATATCAAGAAAGACATTTGTAAGTTGGAATATGTCCGGGGAAGGGACACTCAGTTAAAAGGATTCCACACTATGTTATAGGAGGAGAAGTTGAAGGAACAGTGAAGAGAAGACTTAGGGAGGACTAAATGACCATCTTCAAGTATTTGATAAATTATCATGTAGAAGAGGAGTTAAGTTTGTGCTGTTTGGTGGTGAGCCCTATTGAACAGCCTAGGGCCAATGGATAAAATTACAAGAAAATGCGTTTTTGTTTAGCTTGAGGGAAAAAAATTCCAAGAATCAGAGCTTTCCAAAAAGTGCAAATGGCTGCCTAATGAATTCACCTAGACTGGAGTGGAATCTAGATGACCACTTGTCAGGGAGGCTGTAAAAGGAATTCCTGCTTTAGGTAGAGCTTGTACCAAAATGATCTCTGAGGTGTCTTCCAACCCTGAGATTGTTTCTGTCTCTGTTTTCTATGTAGATTAGGGTATGTAAGCTAGATGTAGTGTACTGCTGGTATATCAGTGGAAAGACAAATTTTGGTGGTATAGTTAATATATAAGGGATGAGGAATAAAAATGGAACCTGTTGCCAGTGAAAGCCAGAAGATTTTTCTTGGCTTATTTCCCTTTCTTCTTCTAATCACCACTTCCAGTCTCATTTCTCATTATTTTCTCTTTATTCTCCCACCAAGAGATTCCCTGGGCCTTAGGACTTCCTTTGCTTTTGGGAGCTTGGTGATGACTTAGACTTCTTCCCATTCTGTGCTCGGCTTTGGAATGGGGGTTGCTGCTTCTTTGTGGGTCGCACTTGGGATAGAGTCCCACACCTTATTTACCTTGTTTACCACATGATGGTTTCATCATGTGCATGGATTTTAGTTGCTACTAAAATTTAACCTTTTCTTACTGATGCCAAATTCTTTAGACTCTGTTTTATCCTTTCTGTTGTGTCTTGTAGTTCATAAAGAAAATGATTTAATAGTACCCTTAGCTTGTTCAGCTTAAGAACTTTCTCCTTTTCAATTCATTTCTTTATTTACATGTTGGTAATGTTTGTGTATGATGATCTTTTAAGGCTACTGCATCTGGATAGCAAAAGAATTGGTAATTTGGATGCTGTGCATTATTCCTCATTGAAATTCATGTTTTATTTACCTGTGAACTGGGAATACTTGTCCAGGCTTCCAGGGTAGCTGACTGCCTTCACCCTTGAGCACTTTCTGTTTTTTAAAAAAAACATTTGTGGCTTTGGTTGCCTTTCTTTTGTTTACTGTGCTTCTGCATCATTCACTTTGGCGTGCTGTGGAGCCTAATGGTTTTATCGACTTGGGTGGTTTTGGTGTGTGACAATCAGTTTCTTTCACAATAGAGATGCTGCTGTGCCACCTTCTTCATATAGGAGGAGACGTAGATCTTAGGAAGCCTTCCTTCTGTCATTCTACAGTGTATTTTGTAGTGCTTCCCAGTTGGGTGGCATTCTTGATGTGTAGTGCTCTATTAGAGTCAATCAATAAACATTTACCAAGTACCTCTTATGTGCTTGGCCCTGTGCTAAGGGCTGGATTACAAAGAAAGGTTAAAGCCAGTTCTTGCTCTCAAGGAGCTCACACTCTTAATGGGCAAGACAACATGTCAATAATGTACACACGAGCTATCTACAGGATAAATTGAAAATAAATCAGTAGAGGAAGGCAGTACCTTTGTGCATGAAACCTTTGTGTGGGAGGCACCAGGCCCTAGGGACCTCTCACCTATCTTGCTCATTCACCCCTCTCTTGTGGGGGCTCTAGGAGCTAACATCTGAGCCAAAGAATGGGCCACTTTCCCCAGAGACTTGCCCTATATTCAGCCCAACAAAAGAGGTGAGAATTCCCTTTTCTATGTCATCTTTCTAGTCTCATGCCAAAGATTCTCCTCCAGTCTCTGTTTACAGTTAGTGTTTACCCTCGTCTCTCCTTCAGTCCCACCAAGTGTCCTGGGTCCCCAACTCCCACCACTGTTGCTATCCCCCAAAGCCCTTCCAGGCATGTGTGGGTGACTCTCTTGTGCTTGCAGCAATTCAGCTTACCTTTTGCATCTTACTGTTATAGGAAAATTGCCCTGAAGACTAGGCTGGCTAGGCTAACATTTCTATGCCCTGTGGCCATTGTGCCTTCAGCTTTTGAAACCTGTTGTCTTACATCTGGGTCACTTAGCACCCGGCCCCCCACCCACACACATAACTCTGGTGGAATGACTTCGTTTTTGGACTACCTGTACTGTCTGCCTGTACAGTCTGTGTTCCCTTCTTATCTCCTCCACCTTATCTTGAGTTTTCACTCTTCTCCTTCTGCCTTCTCCCTTCCCTTCCCTTTAGTCCAGAGGCTCAAGAGGGCAAATCCTGCCTTCTCTGTTTGTCTTCCACCTTTCATCTTCCTCCCAGATAGCTGGACTGGATCATAGAAATTATTCCAGATTGCTTCTTGAAAGATCTCCAAAAGGAAGAGGGAGGAAGTGGCTGGCTCCATTACAGTTATTTAGTATGTAGGAAGAGGGATCTCCGTTAGGGTAGAGATTGTGGTAGGGTCTGTGCCACATGGATGGATGAAAAACCATTTTCAGAAAAAGAAATTCAACAAAAACCTGTCACTGTTTAATGTGGACTTCTATAGAATAAGATCTTTTTATGCTATGCTGTGATTTAACATTTACAGGTTGGTATACTGAGCATTGTAACTGTAATCTAAGGAAAACAATCTTTAAAAGACTCATTGATAGCTTTTTAAGCTTTGCATACAAGCATGAGTTGTATATCCCACCATTTTTTAGTCTGTGCTAGTAATAAGATTTAGTTCCCGTAAAGTCATTGGCATGCATACTATGCATGTTAGCTTAGCTTTTTCCTTTGCCTCAGGGCACATGCCTTCCCTTGTCTAAATCTCTCATTAATCCAATTTCTACTCTGGAAAATGGCTTTCTGATAACTTTAGTTTTTGGGAGACCTGACTCCAAGACTCTTTTGTACCTAAGCATCAGCTGGAACAGAAGGATGGTCAATTAACATTAGCCTTTGTAGAACATTAGACTGTAGGATCATTAATCCCTAAATATTTTAAGATATATTTTTTTTAAATCTCAGATTAAGTTGGAGAAAGGCCAGTCTGAGTTAGTAAAAATTTGAATTACTGAATATTTTTAAAGGAGTACAGACAAATTGTTTTCAAATAACTAACCACTAACATTGTTATTAAGGAGAGAGTCTTGGAGTCCTTCTTTAAATAACAGAGGAGAGTCCTGTGTAATAATCACATTGTTAGCATTCAAATAGATGGTGCCAAAGTACTTTAAAAATCTGTGTTCCTGACCAAGTTAAGCATTTCTCCTAAATTCTCATTTACACTATTATTTGGTTTAGCGGATGCCTTTTTCATGATACTTGCTGCAGAAATGGAATTTGGCCCAGCCCAGGTTGTTACCATGAATTATCATAAATTAGAGAAGTAAAAATTAATAGCCTTCCTTGGGCTCATTTGTGGAAATCAGATTATTGATTACTTTTTAAATAGCTGCATTTAAGATAAAGTGTAAGTGTGCAATAACATTAACACTCTTCATGGTTTTTTCTTCATTAGCAGGAGTTCAGCAATGAGTCACGCCTGCTTCTGCTATGCAGTGATATGTTCCATCCCTGTGTCTGCGTACATCATCCTGGTGACGTCCCTACGTTACCATTTGTTTATATGGAGTGTGTTTTCTCCAAAACTTCTCTATGAAGGAATGCATCTATTACTCACAGCTACCATTTGTGTGTTTTTCACAGCCATGGACCAAACCAATCTCATAAAACCTTAGTCTATTAAGTATGCAGAAAAGAACTGTGCTTTTTAAAAAGCCTATTAATTGCTGACTGGATTTGAGTAATGGAAGATAAGCTTAACTACTAAGAAGATCATTCCAGAAAAAGATAAAAAGTTATTTATGGCTGATGAGTTCTACCAGTTGTTGAAAAAAAAATTCAACTTTTTTGACTTCTGTATTTGAATATAGATTTACTCTAAGTGACTTTTTGTGGTTGAGATTGGGTAGGGGACAGGTGAGGGGAGGGGGAAGAGAAAGACTCTTTGACCATTTGAAAAAGTACTAATTTTGTTCCAGAATATTAAATTTGATTACAAACCATGACCCTTTTTCCTTAACTCAAATAAGTCTAAAAACTTCTGGTTTTGTTAATTTACTCCATATGTGTTATAAATCTGACTCAGAGTTTTGTTTGTTAGTGAATGACAGTCTTAAAAAGTTTTCAGCTTTACCCAGCTGCTTGATGTGCTTAATTCTGAGGGCTTAAGAAGTGGAGGGAGAAGATGGATCCTTACTTAGACTGTGGTGCATGTGAAGCAGATGTGTCTGTCTAACATGTTTTTATCCATCTCTGCCATGATTATTCATGAGATGGCAGGGAGAAAGAAAGAGGGACATGAGTATAACTATATGACCATCCATGAGCAATAGCCAGCAGCTGACTTACTGAATTGTAGTCAAAAGATATCCTAGGCTGAAGGAGATACAAGAGGAGGAAACTGAAAGAGAGGAAGATCATCTGATTCAGTCAAGTGACAGAAGGTACAGAAGGCTCGAAAAGAATCATTAATGAGTATGCTGATGCCCCACGTTTTGCCCTGGGCTGGTCGAGGGTCAGGGAGGAGAGAGGATGCTCCCTTCTACTCCCCCTGTTCTCTAGGGCAACGTCCCTGGACTACGTCCATGCACCTAAGAATTGGGGAGCACCAGGTGTCCTGCAAACACTTGGGAACTTTGCTAGAGAGAAACAAGGACAGGAACAGTGAGATGTGGCAGTTCCTGTGAAAAAGACCTGGAGGTTTTTGTGATTCTAAGGTCGCTGTGAGTCATCAATGTGACATGGCAGCTAAAACCCCTAATGTGATCTTAGTGTCTTCATCAATAAAAACGTCCTGTCCAGAAATTCACAGATCATAGCCCCTCTTTCTTCTGGCTTAGGTGGCCTAGAGGATGAAGAAGACATGAATTCAGTTCCACCTCAGACGCTTACTAGCTGTGTATTCCTGAGCAAGTCACTAGCTTCTCTCTTCTTCGGCTTCCTCATCTGCAAAATGGGGATATTCATAGCCCCTATCTCCCTGAGTGGTTGTGAGGATCAAAGTGGATGATATTTATAAAGTGCTTTGTACACCTTAAAGTGTTGTATAAATGCTAGCAACTGTTATTTTTAACATTGTGATTAACAGGAAGAACGTTAAACTAGAGCATCTGTGGGATAAGATGACCAAGATGGTCAGAGGCTTCATAGCTTGTTCTGTAAATATCGATTGAAGGGATTGGAGAGATTTACCCTAGACAGGAGGAGGCCCAGGAGGAAAGTGCCAGATACATTCCTATATATTTAAAGGGATGCCTTACAGAAGAAGGATTAGGGAAGGGAGAGGCATCTAGTTCAAGCCCCTCTCCTTCCCTACTTCTACACATGGGGAAACTGAGACCCAGGGAAAGCTAATAATTTGCCCAAGGTCACAGGTAGTAAGCATAAGAGGGAGGATTTAACCAGGTCCTGTGGTCGTGGAAACAGTGCTTTCCCCACCATTCCACACTGTCTTCCTTGGCTACATAAGACTAAACTGATTCAGTTTTGTTAACAAAGGGTCTATCATTGGGTGAAAGTTGCTGACTGGTATAGGGAGGAGGGAACCACAGTTTCAGAGCTAGAACGTTGAGGAAGATTACTCAGTCCTCATATATTATAGAGGAAACTGAGGACCAAAGATATTAAGTATGATTTGCTTATGGCCACAGTTAAGTGGCTGAGCTGGGACAGATAAAAGATTTATGTGCTGGGAAAGTAAGTTCCCCATCATTGAAGGTCTTATAGTGGAGGACGGAGGAAGGCTTTTCCAGGATGTTGTGGAGGGTATGGGATGGTAACTAAATGACTTTTTAGCTCTTTTCCAACTCTTTCATATTCTAGGATGGATCCCCAGACTGGGCTTGGAGTGACAAAAATATTCCTTTATGGAAGATGTTCAACAAGGAACTGACTTTATATTAAAAAATAAAAAAAACCACAGTTTTGCAAAACTTGTGAAGGTTGATGAAAGCCAGCTGAACATTCCCAGAGAGCTCTGGGAAGCAGCTACCTGACTTTGCCCAGAACAGCCAAAGTGCTTTCCCTCCTTTGGGTTTTAAGTGAAAACATTTTCAGAGAATGGAAAATCAGCACAGAGACTAGATAATAGGTGGAGTTGTGTGAAGTCAAACCTTGACTAGGTTCTCTGACCCTGTGGTCACCTACCCCTTTCAGTAGGATTACTCTCCTTTAGAAGTGAGGGGAAAAGGGCAAGGGCACTGAATCTGGGAGTCGAGACCAAAGCGTTTAATCCTACCAGTCGAATGGGAACTCCATGAGGGCAGGGCCTGGGTTTTTTTCTTTTAATACCTTCATATATTATATATTATGTATTATATATAACTCTAATATCTTAAAATTGCATTAAGCCTTTTGGGGTACCCTGTATCTATTGCCTGGCACAGAAGTAGTAGGTGTTTAATGAAATTCATTATATTGAATTGGTAAATACAGGTGTGTAAGTAACTGACCTTATAACAACCTAAATTTACCTTTAGTCTTGAGATTTCATATTGTGAGTGTTACTGGAAAAATTGGCATCCAGTCATAGCCAGCCCTTCTCCAGCAGGGAGAGATGGGCTCTGACACAAGGGATTCAGATTATTAGAAAGAAATCGAGCTGGAGAGGATTCCATTTGTTACTTTCAATTCCTGAAAATGAAAAACTTATTTCATATGACTGTTTTAGTGTAAGAGTGTCTCTGTGTGTGTGACATGTACCTGGGATCATTGGCTAATAAGTTGAAAGAGCAAAATCACAGCCCAGAAAAATATTGACAGGCCAGAATGATGGGGTCAGTATTTCCAGTAAACATGACTGTTTAGAGACAGTCCTAGTCATGCCCTTAGGCAAATGTAACAGTACCAGGAGTTATCAACCCAACCAAGAGTTAGTGTGCTAGTGTGGCAGGGGCAGAGGCTGAGTAGCCTATGGCCAGCTACATCAAGTTACTGTCTGTTGAACTAGTAAGAGTTTGCTTTGATGCTGGTGATCTGGAAAAGACCAGCCTCATATTCTAGGAAAGTCAGAACAAGTTTGCACCATCATTCTGATGTAAGGCAAACCTGCACACAATAATTTGGGGTTTCTGTTCTTGCCCATTGTGTATTTTTGCCTCTTCCTGGTTCCCTTGCCCTTCCCCCTGCTTTCACTAAGATTGCAGAGGCCAGTCCTGTCTGAATAATATTTCCAGGAGGGTTGGAGATCTCTAGGGAGATTCTGCTGGCCTTCTGGGTAGTAGGAAAGAACCTGAGAAATGGTCTGGGCTACTTTGATAATAGCAACTCAGATTTTATAGTGCTTTGAAGCACTTTCCTCACAGTAGTATCACCATGGGAATTCACCTTTCAAGACATCTGTCTCCAGATTCCCTCACTGAATGCATTTCAAAGGCTGAGGCTTTCCCTTTCCTCATATTTAGGAAATGGGGATAGGGCGTGGGGGGTGGAAGATAGATGGTTCACATTTAATAAGATGACAAATGCAAAGGTCTCTTAAGTTCAAGGAATCAACTGTACAAGGGCAAAGCAGCCTTAGTTCATTTGAAGAAATTCTGGGGGTTATCTTGGACAACCTGCTCAGTATAAATCAGCGTGTGATGTAGCAGTCCTCAAAGTTAATGCAATCTTAGGCTGCATTAATAGAGGCAGAGTTTTCCGGGACCAAGGGTGGGGTAATCTTGTTCCATACCCTGGCCAGACAATACCTGGAGTATTGTATTCAGTCTTGGATGCTGCATTTTAGAAACAATCCCTGACACGTATAGAGAGGGAAGACCCTACAGTGTGTTTGAAATGTAACATACTGAGGGGACTGCAGATATTTCACACAGAGAATAAAAGACTTAAGGTATGTATAGTCTCCATCAAAAAATACGAAGGGCAATCATGGAAAAGGGATTAGATTTATTCTGCCTGGCCTAGATGGTAATAGGAGCAAAGGGCAAACTTGGGGAAAATCAAGGAACTTAGAATTCTATGAGGGAAGACAGTCCAAGAAAAAATACACTTACAGATGAAATTTTGATTAAGGACTCTGATAGTGTAAAGGCAGGGAGTGGGGTGAGGTGGGATGGGACTGGGGGAGGGGTGGAACACTGTCCTTAGAGACCATTGTGAAAGCATTCAGAACTCGTCCAACTTAGATTTTAAAAATGCATAAAGATGGAAGCAAGAGCAGATAACTGACGATGAATACAAGAGTGGTGTGGTCATGTGAGAACAGTGCCAAGAGGATTAAGATGCTGAATGTGGAAATGAATGCTAAGTCAGATACAAAGAGCCAAAGCTCAGTGGAAGGCAAGAGGAACATCAAAGAAGGGACAGGACTGTTGCTGGTGGGAGGGGGTTGAGGGAGGAAGGTTTGGAACGGTTTGGACCCCCAAGGAGGGATGTGAAGATGAAGAACTTTCAGTGGTTGCTCTTTTTAAAGTGGTAGCTTGACTTTTTAAAATTATACTGCTGCTGGTACAACATTGAACATGAAAAGTAGAGGTAACTATAGCAGGGGAATTCTAGCAAGAGGACCACTAAAAGGGTACATAAAGCATAAGGCAGTGACTCTGCTATGTGGATATATGTTCTGATGATGATTCCCACTTAGAATGGCCAGAAATGCCCAGTATAGTTCACCCAATGGGTATAGGAAAGATGGATAGCAAAGATAGAAGGAGGGTCCTGTGTGACCTCTGGAAAGTCGAATTGTTCTGTTAGTATACAGCAGCAACTTGGTCTTGCCAAAGACACCGAGCCCAAAGGGACTTTAGAGGTCATTTAGTCCAACCCCCTCATTTTACTGATGAGGAAACTGAGCCACCCAAAAACTCAAATGATTTGCCAAAGGTTACATAGATGGTCAGTAGTAGAGTCAAGTTTTGAGCCCACGGTTTTTGATGCTAAATCCATTACAATTCACACATCATCAAGATGGGACAAAACATTTTTTATACAGCTTTTTAAACGTTTTGGTCTTTCTATTACCCAGTAACTATAGACTTCTCTGGGAAGTAAGTAGAAGAAGACTGGAGTTACTGGAGGACTAACAAGCACTGAACTTGTATTTTGCTTTTATTTTCTCTACCAAAGAGAACGATCTTTGATCTGGTGAAAACTTAACAAAGAATAACAGAGTTGAAACCCAAGAACATGAGGGAATGGAAAGAGCACCTCGATGCCCTCAAATAAGTTCAAGTCTACATACATCACAGGGCAATGAAATACCTGACAAAATATGACTATAAAGGGACAATTATCCCAATTTTGGCAGTATTGCTGGACCAGTTGATCAGGAGAATACCAGAGATAAAGCTTGCGTATATTTTAGCAAAACATTTGACAAAGTTGTCTATGCTGTTCATATGGGGAAAATGGCAAGAATGGGTTACATATAATTAAGTGGGAAAGGAAGGGAAAATAAAAGCTTGTTTATTAAAACACCCACTATGTGCCAGGCACTGGTACTTTATAAATGTTATTGAATTTTATTTAGGTAGATTTAGAATTAGTTGAATGCCTAGAGCTAAAGAATAGTTATTAATGGGTCTATATTATTGGAAGGAGGTCTCCTAGAAGGCCTAAAGATCTGTCCTTGGTCCTGTGCTGTTTAATATTTTTATCAATGACTTGGACTTAAAGGCATAACTGGCCTTTCTGCAAAATTTGCAAAATCAAATTTGCAGATGTCACAAAGCATGGATGAATAGTTAAAACTTTGGTTGGCAAAATCAGGTCCAAAAAGATCTTGACAAAATGTAGGAAGGAATTGTGGTACTGTGGGGATAAGACCTGGGTTCCAATCCTGCCTCTGATGCTTGTTACCATGGGCAGGTCACAACCTCCATGGGCCTCAGTTTATTTAATCTGTAAAATGAGGCCAGTTGGACAAAATAGCCCCCAAACTTTTTTCTAGTCCTAGCTTATTGGGTTGAGT